GGGAGCCAGGGCTTACTGCGTACGGTTTCGGTTGGAGAAGGCGAGAGAGCTCTGGAGACCGCGGTCACGGCTGCAAAACAACGTAAATGTACTGGATGCCACAGAACAGTACCCGTGAAAATGGTAAAGCTTATATGAAGCTTATTCTACCCCAGGGAATGAATGAATGAGTGAATGAATGAATATTACAGTTCACCACATTCATCAATCATTTGGTGTTCTCCTCTGCTAATAAACTTTTTAGGTGAAAAAAATAAAAATAAAAAGTAAGAATTGAGACTGTGTCTCAGAGACCGACTCAACCAAACCAGAGGGCTTCGAGGGAGCTTCGTGGTGCCGTTCCCTCTGCCCCCCACCATCTCTGCAGAACCAAAAATAGAGAAGAAATTATCTCACAAAAAGATCTGGATTGGGTCTGATGAGGAATACTACTGGAATCCAAGGAAGTTCCACAAAGTTCCCGAGAAAGTAGCTCGTCAGATACGATGTCAGCATGGACGAAAGGTTCAGGAAGAGACAAAAAGTATGATTTATGCAGCTAAAGAGGCTAACACGCGTGACACAAAAGCTGACAGAAGCTGTGGGAGGAAGAGACAATCGGGCAACGAGCTGGAAACAACAACACTCCAATTTCACTACTGGATAGAATGAGCTACCAGAACATCAAGGAGGATATCGCACACTTGAACAGCTGTGTAGACAAGGCAGACAGAAGGGCATCTACGGAACATACCACCTTCACAACAGATACACACTCCTCTCACGGGCACAAGGAGCACTCTGAGGGTGGACCGTATTCCAGCCCTTAAACGAGCCTTAGTAAGTTAAAAAGGTGTAAAATCATACAAAACATTTTCCTCTGGTCAGAGTAGAACGATATGGGACTGTAGTAACAAAAAGAAATCTGGGAAACTCACAAATATGTGGAAATTTGAAAACGTAATCTTGGAGCCACCTGGCTGGCTCAGTTGGAAGAAAGAGCTTGCGACTCTTGATGGCGGGGTCGTGAGTTCAAGCCCCACTCTAGGTGTAGCAATCACTTAAATATTTTTAAAATAATAGTAGAGGCGCCTGGGGGGCTCAGGTAGTTAAGCGTCCGACTTTGGCTCAGGTCATGATCTCACAACTTGTGGGTTCGAGCCCTGCGTCGGGCTCTGTGCTGACAGCTCGGAGCCCGGAGCCTGCTTCGGATTCTGTGTCTCCCTCTCTCTCTCTGTCCCTCCTCCACTACCGCCCTGTCTCTGTCTCTCTCTGTCAAAAATAAACAAACAAAAAAATTTTTAAAGCATAATCTTAAATAACCAGTGTGCCAAAGAAGAAATCGAAGGAAAAGTTTGTAAATACTGGTAGATAAGTAAAAGTGAAGACACAAGATCCGCAGATTGGGGGGCCCACGGAAGCAGCATGCAAAGGGGCATTCACAGCTGTAAATGTGAGTGTAAAAGAAGAAAGATCTCAAATCAGGAGAAAAAGAGCAAACCACATCTAATGCAAGTCAAAGGAAGGAAATAATAAAAATCAGAGCTGAAATTCATGAAATGGAAATGGAGAATGAACAGAGTATCACTGAAAATAAAAGCTGTTTCTGTGAGATTAACAAAATTGACAACACGTTAGCTAAATTAACCCCCCCCCCACAAAAAGAGGAAGTGTAAATTTTTAGACTCAGAAATGCAAGATTCTGGTACTACCGGCCCCACCTAAATAAAAGGGATCATAGATGGATGTTATGGACAGCTATTCGCCAATAAATCAGGTAACTCACATGAAACAGACATGTGCCGAGGAAGACACAAAACATCGAAACTGACTCAAGAAGAGATAAATAATATGAATAGATGTATAACAAGTAAAGAAACCAAAATATTAGTTTCTTTAAAAACTACCTGCAAAGAAAATTCAGACCCAGATGGCTTCACTGGTGAATTCGACCAGACATGTATTAAAGAATGAATTCTTCACAAAAACTTCCAAAAAAATACAAGAGGAGGAAGTACTTCCCAACTCATACTGTGAGGTGAGTAATAAATACCACAATGGCAACACCAAAGACATCAAGAGAAAAACAAAACAGAACTGCAGACCATTTTAGACTCAAAAGCCCCAACAAAATACTAACAAATCAAACCCAGCAATCTATTAAAAGAATTATATATCATGAAACCTAGTGGAATTTATCTGAGTTGGTCAATGAAATGCTGCTTTAACACCTAAAACTCAATTCGTGTAACATATCACATCAATAAATAAAGGGCAAAAAATACACATGATCATCTCAGTAGATGCAGAAAAAGCATTTGGCAATATCCCCCCACCCCTTCATGATGAAAACCTCTCATCAAACCAGAAATAGAAATTTCCACGACTGCATAAAAGGCATCCATGAAAACCCCAGGGTTAACATCCCACTTCTCACAATTCCACAATAAAAGACTTACAACTCCAGAAATAAAATTAGCCCAATTTTTTAAATGGGCAAAAGATCTGAACAGACATTTCTCCAAAACGATGTGCAAACACCAATAAGCTGACAAAGAGAGACCCCACATCATCGGCCGTCAGGAGAATACAAATCAAAACCACCACGAGCCAGCGCCCCCGCCAGCCCCCCAATTTGTCTGGGGTCCACACCATGGGCAGTCACAAGTGGCCAGTGGGCAAGTGGGAGAAACTGGATCCCCCTGTCCTGCTTGGGGGAACGTCAACAGCGTGCCTTTAGGTAACAGCGTGACGGTCAGTCCGTCATACGGCTAAACGTGCAATCCAGCAATTCCACTCCCAGGCATGTGCCCAGGAGAAAATACATGCCTGTAAAAACCTTGCACACAAATGTTCGTGACGGCGTATTCTTAAGAGCCAAACACCGGAAGCAATCCAAATGACCAATAGCTAATGGACAAAATGTGGTGTATCCATACAGAGGAAGGGCATCCAACCATCAAAGAAAATGAAGCATTGACACCCGTTGCCACATGGATGACCCTTGTTGGGAACATGATGCTAAGTGAAAAAGCCAGTCAAGGGGTGCCTGGGGGGTGGGGGGGGGTCAGTCGCTTAAGCGTCCAATTCTTGATTTCAGCTCTGGTCGTGATGTCACGGTTCGTAAGTTCGAGGCTTGCATCAGGGTCTGCTCTGACAGTGCAGAGCCTGCTCGGGATTCTCTCTCTCTCTGTCTCTCTTTCTCTCTCCTTCTCTCTCTGCCCCTCCCCTGCTTGCTCTCTTATACTCTCTCTCTCAAAATAAATCAACTTAAAAAAGAAAAAGGCAGTCAAAAAAGACCACATATTACATGATAACATTTGTATGAAATGCCCAGAATAAGCACATGTACAGAAACAGACGGCAGGTAGCAAGTTCCCAGGGCAACGGGAAGGAACAGCTAAGTCGAGGCACATTTTCTTTTCAGGATAAAGGAAATTGCCCCACAGCCGACAGTGGGGACGGATGCCCAACTCCGAATACACTAAGAACTGCCGAACGGTACACGTTAAGTGGGCGAATGGTGTGGTATGTGAATTATATCTCAGAACAACTGCTTACGTCAGATACGCCCAACCCACTGAATCATTAGGGACAAGCAAATTAAAACCACTATGAGAAACCACTGCAAACCAATTACAATGCCTAAAACAGGTCATTAAAAATACGTATTTATTTTGAGAGAGAGAGAGCATGCAAGAGAGCAGGGGAGGAGCAGAAAGAGAGAGAAAGAAAGAGAGAGAATCCCAAGCAGGCTCTGTGTTGTCAGTGCAGAGCCTGATGCTGGGCTCGAACTCACAAACTGTGACATCATGACCTGAGCTGAAATCAAGAGTCAGATGCTTATGCGACTGAGGCCCCCATGCATCCCCAAAACAGGTTTTTTGAGGCTGGTTACGCCAGATCTGCAGGAAGGGGGCAGCTGGCACTTTGTCCCCCTGTCCACCCACCAGCGCGCCCACCTCCAGGGCCCAGCTCAGCACTCGCAGTGTGCCATTGTTCCTAAACAGGCAGCGACAGCCACACCCTGGAAACCACACCTGGCGTCTGTCCCGGCCCCCGTGCCCGCGCGAGCAGATGTCAGCACTTGGCACCTAGGTCCACACTGAGGTCCCACAGGGACAGAAGCCCCGGGAAGGCAGAGCTCCCATCTGGATGCTCCTGGCACAGAGCCCGCGCGTCACAGGCACACAGAGAACGCAGGCTGAGTCGCGTTGTGTGCGACACAGGGGACACCGGATGACGGATGATGGTCCTCCTTACCCTGATTTTACACAAGAAGGAACCTCTTCTACGTAAGTCCCGATCTGAAGGAAAGATAAAGCTGCTCGCCAAGCACGTGCTCGCTTTATACCAGTCAGGACGAGACCTTCAGCCTTGCTCCCTGGGCCGTGACCTGTGTCCCCAGTTACCGCCCCGGCTGCCTTCAGTCCCTTCATGTCCCAGCTTTGCGCAGAGCGGCTCTGGGTGAAGGATGCAGACATCATCCCCTCAGCAGAAATGCAGAGATGTGTCGGGTACTTACAGTGCTCTGGAGGCCCATGGTCCCGCGGCTCAACGCCGGCTCCCAGAGCAGCGTCCGATTGCTTTTTGGAACCTTGCAGCAGCGTCAGGAACACCTTTACGAAAATTAAAAAAGACCTTCTTATTATCTCCTACCCATTTTCACAATGCACTCCTGGCCTTTAGCCTCAGTCCCCCAGCGAGGTCATTATGACAACAGACACCACATGCCATTATCTCATGAGCTTTTCCGGTCACTGGCCTGGTGGTAAGGCCGCCCGGTTCTCCGCAAGCTGGTTGTAAGGCTGCCCCGGGGATACAAGGCGAGGGAAACCTGACCGTGGACCTCAGGGCATTTACGGGCATGGTGGGGTCAATCCAAGCAAGAAGCAGGCAGGGCAAAGGAGGTGCCCACGATACAGTGTCCAATGCAACGGGGAGTTGTGGCTGGCTACACCAGTCTTAGAAGTTCAGAGATGGGGGCGCTTGGGGGGGCTCAGTCGGTTAAGCATCTGACTCTTGATCTAGGCTCAGGTCAGAGTCTCACAGTTTGTGGGTTCAAGCCCCACATCAGGCTCTG